ATTTGTTAAGTTAAAATATTTACTGAGCTCTTCTTATGTGCCAGGCACTCTTTTAAATACACTTGTTAAATAATTTAATCTTTACAGTAAGTTTATATGATAGACCCTATTATCTTTATTTTTAAATTTTAAAAAAATTGAACCCTGGGTGGTGCTGTTAAGTGGTTAGACTTAGAGCATCGGCCCGAACATCAAAGGGTCTCAGATTTGATTCCTGGTCAGGGCACATACAAGAATCAACCAATGAATGCATGAATAAGTGGAACAACAAATCAATGTCTCTCTCTTTCTCTCAGGTCAATAAATAACAAATCAATCACATAAGCAGAGCTCTTTAGAGGCTTCAGTAATTTGTAAGTGCATAACCCATCTTTAAAAAAGTTTAAGTTCACTAATCTAGCCAATCTAAATTGTTCAGTACGCCTAGTCTGTCATAGTAAAATAATTTTTTTAAGTCAAAAGAACTGATGTAGCACTGGCCAGTGTGGCTCAGTTGGTTGGAGCATCATCCCATACACTGAAAGGTTGCAGACTTGATTCCCAGACAGCATACATACCTAGGTTGCCCATTCTCAGTCAGGGTACTTACAAGAGGCAACCAGTCAATGTTTCTCTCTCACATCAATGTCTCTCTCTCTCTCTCTCTCTCCCTTCCTCTCTCTAAAATCAATTTTTTTAAAAAAATTAAAAAATGTTTAAAGAATTATTTTAAAAAGAAATGTTAAAAAAATTTTTTAAATACCATGAAAAATAAGCAGTAATAGGCGAGGTATGTGCTTTTTCCTGATCTCACATTTCCTAATTTGTAACCTATAATATTTGTTTGTAGTAATATCTTCTTCCTTTTTTTTAATCTTTAAATTCTTTATTAGTTAAGGAATGACAAATGTGTCCTCATTCCCCCCCATTAACCCCCAATATCTTTTTTTTTTAATATATTTTATTGACTTTTTTACAGAGAGGAAGGGAGAGAGATAGAGAGTTAGAAACATCGATGAGAGAGAAACATTGATCAGCTGCCTCCTGCACACTCCCTACTGGAGATGTGCCCGCAACCAAGGTACATGCCCTTGACCGGAATCGAACCCGGGACCTTTCAGTCCGCAGGCCGACGCTCTATCCACTGAGCCAAACCGGTTATGGCTGTAGTAATATCTTCTACAGTAAATGAAAATGACATTCCTAAAAGTACCTCTGCATTTCAAGACAATAGCGACAGGTAGTAAAAAAGGGATTCCTTGAAGAAACTTCAGATTCAAATCATGTATTTCAACATTCCTTCATTAAACCATGTACACTACTGAAATATAAAGAAACCATAAGAGCTTATAGGAAGACTACCAAGATTGATGTCATTTATTTAATCTGAGGCTTCGTGTACTGAAATAGTAAGACCTTAAATTTTTGATAAGATGAAAAATCAGTCTAAATTTTGCTCAACTCAAAAAAAAGTGTGAAATCTTGGCCACTTTTTTTTTTTTTTTTTTTTAGTGAAATGGTGAGGACAATAAATTACTGGGTTCCCTGCCCCAGCTAAGCATCTGCAGTAACCCTGAATACAATCAAATAATGTAAATATAAAATGTTATTGTTAAACCATTAATTATAGAAGGAAAAAATTTAGGTCTCTCCATAGCAAAGATTAATATAGGTTACAGCTTTGGTTACTTTTATATTTAACCATTCATTCACCAAATATTTCAAGTACGTACTATGAGCCTGGCACTGGGGATCAATGAACCAAAAAAAAAAAAAAAAAAAGTTTTTAATCTTCATGGATGTGGGCTTGCTTGTATTCTGCTGTGGGAAATAGACAAAAATAAACACATAAAAAAATCTATACTAATAAAAGGGTAATATGCTAATTAGACCAGGAGACCTTCCAGACATCCTTCCGGACAAAGCCATGGTGGCGGGGCAGAGGTGGTTAGGGGCAATCAGGCCAGGAGGGGAGGGCAGTTGGGGGTGATCAGGCTG